CCATATCTTTGTCAGAAGTTTAAAACCAGATCAGAAGTGCACAACTGCAACACTAGGAATAGGGACCACCTACATACATATACCACTCTGTAGGACGGCTGCAGGTCAGCGCACGTTTACCTTTAGAGGCCAAAAGCTGTGGAATAGTCTCCCAGACGAGTTTCAGTCTCTCACTAATTTAGATGTATTTAAAGTAAAAATAAAACAGCATTTTTTAAGGGTATTTTTGGAAAACTAAGTTTTAGATATTTGACATTGAAAATTAAGCTGAAAAGCCTTTTTGACGAGATTAATCAAGTTATTATTATTATTATTATTATTAATGTTCAACCAAGAGGTCTTCAAGGGCTTCAAAAAATATCATCGAATTGTTAGCCGTCAGTCGCATTGTAAAATGGTTTGAACCTAGAAATGATGTGATATGTAGATGGAATATGATAGTACGTGTGACTAGTATTTAATAGGAACGCTTTTTACAGTGACTGTCTCCTCTGCAGAGGCCTCTTTGTGTTGTAGGGGGACTGGGGAGAAAGAAAAAGAGAGAGCGCGGGGCACGATGGGAAGAGAAAGAAAAATCTGCCTTATAACTACTCGTTTCCTTATATTGTCTTTTTGAAGTGCATGGCCTACTTTATAAGTAAGTCACCTATGAATTAACGTATATTCCTTTTTAGTCTCGCTTGCATGAGTAGCGAGACTCATAATCTGCAACGCGTTTTCCGTCCCGGCGGGGCTATATAGGTATGTGCCGCGCCAAAGGGTATGTTTTTCTTTACCTATTTTAGTCTGAAATAGGGTATGGTTTGTGCACTCTAGTCTTGAATTGGGTATGTTTTTTAGAAGAATTAGCTACTTCTTCATCATTTGCCGATAAGACCATTTCCCTTTTAATGTTTACGCCAGCTACCGTGTACGTGCCGTAACATCTTCTCACGCGCTCCGGTCACGCGCCGGGCTCCAGGGCTTCAGGTCTGAAATAGGGTATCAAATTTGTGATCAGGTCTGAAATAGGGCAGGGGAAATCACAGATTTTGGTCTGAAATAGGGTAAGGGTTTCAGGAAGCGTGCTGCACACCACCTCCCAATTTTTCTGGAAGTACTCCCTGGAATTTTTGGTCGTAATTTAGGACAAAAAAGGCAGGTCATTGTACCAGGCGTTCCTTGCGGAGACGGTAGAAACTGAGACTAAGAATCGTTGCGTGATCGAAGCCACGCATGTTTTGAGAAGAAAGCTTAGGAATAAATTTAGAGCTTTTCCGAAACGTGTCGGTCCACGAATTCTATCGCTTGAAAGCGTTGATTACTTTGGAGTAAGTGAACACTACTGAGTGGTCGAAGAAAAATAAGAATCTTAATTAGCAAAATTGCGATGGTTGGGTGTTGTAAACTTTCACTGTATCCAAATGAGTCTTGTGATGAGTATGCGATTTATTTTCGGCAATGATTGACATGACGTGCCATGTAAATCACTTTTTCGATATCTGCCAATGATGTAATTTCTCTGGAATCAAGGCCCTTGAATTTTCGTGTATTTATACACGCGTACAGCCTGCTACCGGAGATGTATTTTTGGTCGTCGCTAACACGCGTACTAAATCAATTCAGAAACAAATACAAAGTATCGACGTCGATAACGTAGGAAGTAAGAAACCTTTAGCGAGTAAATCACGTTTCTTGTAGAATTAATCGCCTCCTCATTTCTAGATCTAGTCCCCAAGTAGGCGAGACGTGTATGCCGCTGTAAGCGCGTTCTTGTCACAAGTAAGGTACCCATTGGATAGGAAACTCTACTATTATAATCGCTTAATGTGCTAGCTTCTCCGCAGATTTAATCGGCGTAAAACGTTTCATAAGCACTGATACAATCGTTTCTTTACTCGATATTGTCTATTTCAACATTGTTTACTTCATAAGCAGATGACTACAACAGTACGAATTTAAGTAAATTCTATTTTATAGGTAAGTTACCTTTTGGATAGGAAACTTTTACCTAATGGGCTTCACTACGCGACGGATTCAACGGTATATCCTAAACTGAATTTTATATAGGCGACACATCTGCGGGTATATCTTCCGTCAGTTTTATGTCTACGGCCTACTTCATAATAAGTAAGCGTACAGAAATTCAAGTAAACCCTGCTTTATGAATAAGTTACCTATTGCCGGCATAGGGAACTCATGTCTACTCAAGTATAACATACAACCGCTATTTAGTAACTTCTACGCGTATTTAATTGTGTATTCCACTACTTGTAATAAGCGCCATATCTACTCGTATCTTCAATTCTAATTTTAACAGTATTAAAAAAAATATTGTCTACCTCGTGTGTATGAACTTCTTTAGAAGAAAGAATAAATGTAAAACAGGGGCGTACCTAGGGTGTGGTCCAGGGAAAAACCCGTGCCCCCCCCTTTGTGAGATAATTGTTTTATGTCCCTATAATTCAGGTGGCCAAAACGCGCCAATCCGAACAATCAACACGCAATAAATCTTTCCCAGTGCTTTATTGTTGCTTACCCCAAATTGCAGGACCGAACATCTGCAGTGGACCAAATTGTTCTTGTTCGTAACTAAAATTATAGAGTAATGTATGCCTTGTGGAACTTAATTAATCTATGCAGCTATCTCACTGTTCACCCAAAACAATGTCACTTGCAGTAAAAAAAGGCCTGGATGTCGACATGCCGATCTTGTAAGTACCCTGGGTGTGACACGGCGTCAACCCCTCCCGTAAAAATATTTTTCAAGTAACGTAATCTATTGTACATGGAAAAATAATAAAAAAAAATTGCTCTGATTTAATCATCGTATAACCAAGCTTAGGACATGACTAGCGTCTCAGCGGTCTTCTCCCAGACTTATAATTGACCACTCCAGAAAATACCATATCATACTATAATGCGCTTTGTTTGTCAACCCGAAATTTTGCATAAGCATTGTCTTCAGTTTCTCTTGGGGCCATTTTAAGGTGGCCCGAACCTATTTAAATGCGCGTTGGTATGTTTTTGAATCGCGTTTTTCGGCAGAAATGATTTAACCGATTTCTATGATTTTTGGCATCCTTAATAAAGAAGGCTCGAACTTTAAGAAACTGTTATTTATTTTCTTGTGGGCACAAAAACGTTTGAGATATCGGCATATGTTTAAAACCACATTTTTACAAAAAATGTCAATATTTTCGAAACCCTAAGACAGATTTTTCTCTAACTTCAGCAAATAAGCCTCTGAGCTCTCTAGTTTTAAATCTGCAAGTTTGAAGTCAATCGTGACCGTAAAACTCGCTGCAAAAATAGGTGGTCAAATTTAACCTTAAAATGCAACGCTAACACATTTGTTAAATTTGACGCACAAATAGAGGAAAACTGCCGACGGACTATGTCCTATCTGCAAGGGTATTCTAAGTCAAAGCTTTATTGCAAGAAACTGAGGAATCAGAAACCTACGGCGAATACAGTTCGCAATACAAGAAGAACAACTTTTTGCTGAATGCGGGGCAATATTAAAGAACTTCCATTCATTAAACTTACTTTGTACTTGTGTCTCTCTCTTCGAAACCCTCTTAACAAGGCAAAATACAGCATCTAGGAAAAACTCTCAAGAGTTTTTAGCGTCCCAGGTTTCCGTTTTGAGAAGAAATAAAGCCACTAACTCCAGTACTTCTAACCGTCCATTTTTCAGATGCACTGAAAGCCCTTGTCCTTGGTAATTTATTCAGGCTTCTTAGACTTGACAGCGAATTCGCACGGGAAGTTTGCTACTTGGAGACAAAGATGAAGAAAATATGACAATCGTCTTATTCTTTTCATTATCCCTAGTGGCAAACTGCCCGTGCGAATGTGATGGCAAATCTAACAAGCTTGAATAAATTACCTAATACAAGGGTTTTCATTGCAGCAGAAAATGGATCGGTTGAAGTAGTGGAGTTGGCGTGGCTGTATTTCTCCTCAAGGAGGGAACCTTCGGTGCTAAAAACTGGTAGAGGATTTCCGTAGATTCTATATCTTGCTTTGTTGAGATTTGTTTCGAAAAGAGAAGGGCAAATACACAGTAACTTTGATAAATAGATCATGTGCTTTAATCTTGCCCTGCAGTCAGCATAAAGTTGTTCTTCTTGCATTGCGAACTGTATTCGCCGTAGGTTTCTGATTACTCAGTTTCTTGCAATAAAGCTTTGGCTTAGAATACCCTTGCAGATAGTGGATAGCCCGTCGGTAGTTTTCCTCTATTTGTGCGTCAAATTTCACAAATGTGTTAGTGTTGCATTTTACGGTTAAATTTGACCAGCTATTTGTGCATCGAGTTCTTCGGTCACGATTGACTTCAAACTTGCAGATATAAAACTAGAGAGGTCTGAGGCTTATTTGCTGAAGTTAGAGAAAAATCTGTCTTTGGGTTTCGAAAATATTGACATTTTTTGTGAAAATGTGGTTTTAAACATATGCCGATATTTCAAACGTTTTTAAACCTACAAGAAAATAAATAACAGTTTCTTAAAGTTTGACCATTCTTTATTAAGGATGCCAAAAATCATAGAAATCGGTTTTTCTGCCGAAAAACGCGATTCAAAAACATAACCAACGGGCATATAAATAGGTTCGGGCCACCTTAAAATGGCCCCAAGAGAAACTGAAAACAATGCTTATGCAAAATTTTGGGGTAACAAACAAAGACCGTTATGTTTTGGTATTTCAATCTGGAGTGGTCAATTTAACTTGTTTTTAACGTTACTCCACAAAAAAGGCATTTGCTATTAACCACGATGAGAAATACAAAAAATATATACAGCTGTATGACTTGGGTATCATAACTAAAATTTTACACAAAAGTCCTCTCTACTTCCAGTAAGTGGTTTGTTTTTAACCTAAGTAATTGTTTTCCTAATAATACTTTTGTACACTACTTTGTCACGATAAACAATTGGACACGACTTCCTGCAATAGACATTTTAACAATTCAATTTTATCAACTGCGAAAGTTTTTACAAAGTATTTGATAGACGTTACACAGCTCTTGATAGTTCACCGATTATATCCTGCATGGTTGGTCTCGCTTCAGGATCTGTCTTAAGGCATCGCCGTACCAGGCCTCTTAGGGCGCGATTCGTTATCAGTAGAACTTGCTGTTCGCGTCTTCTCGGATCTGGAAGTTCGCGGATGCACATTTCACAAAGAAGCACGCCAAAGCTATAAACATCAACCTATAAACGATACACAGATTATTTGTCGTTATTTGCCTTAGAACATCCTATTATACTACTTCCAGTATATACCCACCACTCAGCGTCATTTTTGATATTCCTTTGGTTATTTAGCAATATATTGTTTGATGAAGCTGAGTATGATTTGAAGAATTATGCAAATTGCGCGGGGGTGGGGGGGGGAGGGGTAAGTTCAAACATCTCCATTTGACTGTTTCTGAGCAAATTCAGTAAATAAAGGAATGTAAAGTCTAGATCCTACCGTATTTGCTCAATTAAGCGCCCAGCCTGGAATAAGGGAGGAAAGTTAATAAGCGCTCTCCTCCTGATTCACTCTTTCCACCGAGACCATAATACACCATGTTTACCTCACAGAATTTTGCATAACCATTGTTTTCGATTTCTCTTGGGATGAATGTAATACCCAGGGGAATTGGAATTTAAAGTTGTATGGTTTACTTAAAGAAATTGTTCATAAAAGCGCACGTTAAGACAAATGTACAGAAACTTTTGTCAGTGATTGTAGCTATCAAGAAGGAGCTATCCTCTCCTACCGCCTCGGACTGAGCCTGCGATATCTTATTTCAAAAAATAACTAAGATAGTCAGCTCTGATTGGCCGAGAGGAGTGTTTGCATGAGAGTATGTAAACATGGTCGTGGCGTCAAGATGTTTTTGCTTTTCGCGCGCTAATCACGCAAGCGTGAATTTGAAAAAGTTTTCGAGTTCAAAACTCGACAAGTTTACTTTATTTACCCATTCCTCCGTCGGCTGAAACTTCGAAAATCGTTACAAAGAAGGTGTGTCAATTTTTTTTTCCTTTAAGCTGACAGTTTAAGCGAGAAAAATCCGTATTTTGAATGGCATCTTTTTGCAAAACAAGAACTGATTACGCGTGCAAGGCTTCGTGCACAAGACTTTGCGACTGGTAAGAATTTCTCTTTTAATCAGTGCCATAACAAAGAGTTTTGCGTTTTTTCTTGGGAAAGTTATATTATAAAAGCAATAGAAAACTTTTTTCCAGTGTTTGCATAGCCTGATATTAACACTCGAGGGGTTGGGAGAATTCTCGACACTTATGCAAACCCTCGACTTCGTCTCGGTTTGCATAACTGTCTCGAATTCTCCCAACCCCTCTCGTGTTTATATCAGGCTATGCAAACACGGAAAACGTTTTCTATTGCTTAAAGTATTACTGACATTGTTTCCGGATGGCCCCACTGAGGATAAATTACAATGGTCAGCTTCCTAAGCGGGGACGTCACTCTCTCTCTCAATAAGGCGGTTCGACTCTATCAGTTTTATCTGCGAAGTCGCCAGTATGATTAACTGAAGAACGGAAACATTTAAATCACAACAGACGCCTGCAGCTTAAGTTTGTTTTCTCGTGGCAGAAACACCTGAAAACGACCATAATAATGGAGCCATAAACATTTGAGTTCAAATGGTGATGGTTTAAGATATCACCGTTACCACCGATTGACCGGGGCTTAAGCAGCAAGGGATATTGCCATTCCACACTGCACAGGGGCAATCAGGTTCAACAATATTTTTCTGCTTCTAACTACATGCCTAGGTGTGGGGTAGGGTTTCTTTCGTGTGAGTAACGAACAACCTAGCCTTAAAGTAGCTACGGGCTCAAGATGACTGCACCAACGCGTCCCTTTGAAGTCTCAAGGGGTTGATGAACCAGTGCTGAATAGAAAAATTCTAAATTCATTAAAACTAACCTTGACTGTTTGGTTTGATGTAAGTGCTTCAGGCGCGCTGTAAATCATAGCTCCAGGAGCCACTGACATGGTCTGCTGCATGAAATTAGCAGTGCCATAATCTGACACTTTGCCTCTCCATTGGTCACCCTGTCGCCATAGCAACACATTAGCACTGCTCACATCCCGGTGAATGATTAGTTCTGGTTTCTTCTGATGAAGGTAGTTAATTGCTCGGGCTACATCCACAGAAATTACGCGTACTTCTTTTTCGGCAAGTTGTCGCTGTTCTAACAGAGCTCGCAAACTTTTCTCCATCAGCTCGGTCACAAACAGAGGGTTTCCTTCATCGTTAGTGGCGCCGATAAACTGAAGCAAGTGAGGATGGCGACATTTGGATGCAATATTCATTTCTCTCTCAAAAAGACGTATGTTATGAGGGGAGAGAATCAGATCATGAATTTGCTTTACTGCTACAGTACAGCCACAATACACGCCTTCGTAAACACTTCCCCAGCCTCCTCTGCCAAGGCATTTATTGGTCATTTGAATTTCATCGCAGGAAATGACCCAATCGCATGTTTCCTGTTGTTGCTGTTCACTTATTGTTTGCCGAGCTAAGGAAAGACTTAACTCTAATTCATTTACTTCCTGGTCTTTTTCTCTCAGCTGTCTTTGCAAATTTTCTTCTCGTTGCTGCATCTCCCTAAGCTGCCTTTGCGAGTTTTCTTCACGTTGCTGCATCTCTCTCAACTGCCTTTGTGAGTTTTCTTCACGTTGCTGCATCTCCCTCAGCTGCCTTTGTGAATTTCCTTCGCGTTGCTGTGTCTCCCTCAACTGCCTTTGTGAGTTTTCTTCACGTTGTCGCATCTCCCTCAACTGCCTTTGTGAGTTTTCTTCGCGTTGCTCTGTCTCCCTCAGCTGCCTTTGTAAGTTTTCTTCACGTTGCTGAGTAACCCTCAGCTGCCTTTGTAAGTTTTCTTCGCGTTGCCGCATCTCTCTGAGCTACCTCTCTAAATTTGCTTCGTGCTCCCGTATTTCCCTTGATGGCCCTGAAAAGTCTCCACCAAGTGCAGGCGTTTGTACGCTTGCTCCACGTAGATCCTCCATATTTTCTGAAGGAGTATAACTATTTTAAGACAATTAAGGTGGCTCTACTGGATTTTTTTAGGGGGATACCTCCCAAGTTTGAGCATTAACTACGTCGGCATGAATAAAGATATGGAAAAAAATTACCACAACTTTATTATATAAAGATGAAAATTTCTTATGATCTGGGTTTTATTGCAATCAGAGCCGCCATGGCAACGTAATGACGCCATTACGTTTTTCATTTATCTTTGTGTTTCTCTGTACCAGGAGGTGAGGGTTGTCCAATACTCACAAATAGACTCCATTGGTGTTAGTGGTGATAAGAAGGGTCTCCATTGGTACCAATGGTACGATTGGTACCAATAGAAAAGCACCCTATTCCAATGGTTCTATTGGTGAATATGCATCTCATTAAGGGGACTTAGATTATTTGCTCATGTGGTCTGGCTGGGTACAGGGCAATTCCAATGGTCCATTGGTACCAATGGTACGATTGGTACCAATAGAAAAGCATCCTATTCCAATGGTTCTATTGGTGAATATGCATCTCATTAAGCACACTTAGATTATTTTCCCATGTGACCTGGTTGAATACAGGGCAATTCCAATGGTCCATTGGTACCAATGGTACGATTGGTACCAATGGAAAAGCACCCTATTCCAATGGTTTTGTTGGTGAATATGCATCTCATTAAGGAGACTTAGATTATTTTCTCATGTGGTCTAGCTGGGTACAGAGCAATTCCAATGGTCCATTGGTACCAATGGTACGATTGGTACCAATAGAAAAGCACCCTATTCCAATGGTTCTATTGGTGAATATGCATCTCATTAAGGGGACTTAGATTATTTGCTCATGTTGTCTGGCTGGGTACAGGGCAATTCCAATGGTCCATTGGTACCAATGGTACGATTGGTACCAATGAAAAAGCACCCTATTCCAATGGTTCTATTGGTGAATATGCATCTCATTAAGGGGACTTAGATTATTTTCTCATGTGCTCTCGCTGGGTACAGGGCAATTCCAAGGGTCCATTGGTACCAATGGAAAAGCACCCTATTCCAATGGTTTTGTTGGTGAATATGTATCTCATTAAGGAGACTTAGATTATTTTCTCATGTGGTCTAGCTGGGTACAGAGCAATTCCAATGGTCCATTGGTACCAATGGTACGATTGGTACCAATAGAAAAGCACCCTATTCCAATGGTTCTATTGGTGAATATGCATCTCATTAAGGGTACTTAGATTATTTGCTCATGTTGTCTGGCTGGGTACAGGGCAATTCCAATGGTCCATTGGTACCAATGGTACGATTGGTACCAATGAAAAAGCACCCTATTCCAATGGTTCTATTGGTGAATATGCATCTCATTAAGGGGACTTAGATTATTTTCTCATGTGCTCTCGCTGGGTACAGGGCAATTCCAAGGGTCCATTGGTACCAATGGTACGATTGGTACCGATGGAAAAGCACCCTATTCCAATGGTTCTATTGGTGAATATGCATCTCATTAAGAGAGTTAGATTATTTTCTCAAGTCGTCTAGCTGGGTACAGGGTAATTCCAATGGTCCATTGGTACCAATGGTACGATTGGTACCAATGGAAAAGCACCCTATTCCAATGGTTCTATTGGTAAATATGCGTCTCATTAAGGAGACTTAGATTATTTTCTCATGTGGTCTAGCTGGGTACAGGGCAATTCCAATGGTCCATTGGTACCAATGGTACGATTGGTACCAATGGAAAAGCACCCTATTCCAATGGTTTTGTTGGTGAATATGCATCTCATTAAGGAGACTTAGATTATTTTCTCATGTGGTCTAGCTGGGTACAGAGCAATTCCAATGGTCCATTGGTACCAATGGTACGATTGGTACCAATAGAAAAGCACCCTATTCCAATGGTTCTGTTGGTGAATATGCATCTCATTAAGGGGACTTAGATTATTTGCTCATGTGGTCTGGCTGGGTACAGGGCAATTCCAATGGTCCATTGGTACCAATGGTACGATTGGTACCAATGAAAAAGCACCCTATTCCAATGGTTATATTGGTGAATATGCATCTCATTAAGGGGACTTAGATTATTTTCTCATGTGCTCTCGCTGGGTACACGGGAATTCCAAGGGTCCATTGGTACCAATGGTACGATTGGTACCGATGGAAAAGCACCCTATTCCGATGGTTCTATTGGTGAATATGCATCTCATTAAGAGAGTTAGATTATTATCTCAAGTGGTCTAGCTGGGTACAGGGTAATTCCAATGGTCCATTGGTACCAATGGTACGATTAGTACCAATGGAAAAGCACCCTATTCCAATGGCTCTATTGGTAAATATGCATCTCATTAAGCAGACTTAGATTATTTTCGCATGTGGTCTAGCTGGGTACAGGGCAATTCCAATGGTCCATTGGTACCAATGGTACGATTGGTACCAATGAAAAAGCACCCTATTCCAATGGTTCTATTGGTGAATATGCATCTCATTAAGGGGACTTAGATTATTTTCTCATGTGCTCTCGCTGGGTACAGGGCAATTCCAATGGTCCATTGGTACCAATGGTACTATTGGTACCAATAGAAAAGCACCCTATTCCAATGGTTCTATTGCTGAATATGCATCTCATTAAGAGAGTTAGATTATTTTCTCAAGTGGTCTAGCTGGGTACAGGGTAATTCCAATGGTGCATTGGTACCAATGGTACGATTTGTACCAATGGAAAAGCACCCTATTCCAATGGTTCTATTGGTGAATATGCATCTCATTAAGGAGACTTAGATTATTTTCAGATGTGGTCTGGCTGGGTACAGGGCAATTCCAATGGTCCATTGGTACCAATGGTACGATTGGTACCAATGGAAAAGCACCCTATTCCAATGGTTCTATTGGTAAATATGCTTCTCATTAAGGGAACTTAGATTATTTTCTCATGTGGTCTAGCTGGGTACAGGGCAATTCCAATGGTCCATTGGTACCAATGGTACGAATGGTACCAATGGAAAAGCACCCTATTCCAATGGTTCTATTGGTGAATATGCATCTCATTAAGGAGACTTAGATTATTTTCGCATGTGGTCTGGCTGGGTACAGGGCAATTCCAATGGTCCATTGGTACCAATGGTACGAATGGTACCAATGGAAAAGCACCCTATTCCAATGGTTCTATTGGTGAATATGCTTCTCATTAAGGGGACTTAGATTATTTTCTCATGTGGTCTAGCTGGGTACAGGGCAATTCCAATGGTCCATTGGTACCAATGGTACGATTGGTATACCAATAGAAAAGCACCCTATTCCAATGGTTCTGTTGGTGAATGTGCATCTCCTTAAGAGAGTTAGATTATTTTCTCATGTGGTATGGCTGGGTAAAGGGCAATTCCAATGGTCTTTTGGTACGAATGGAACGATTGGTACCAATAGAAAATGATGTCATTCCAGTGGTTCTATTGGTGAATATGCATCCATTAAAAAATAAAAATCTCCGTCGATTCATATGTTTATGAGTAATAAGGAGACATTCAAACTTCTGCTGTTTTTTCATGGCAACGGATGCAATCCTGAAATCATCAGTAGATGGATTCTTCTAGCTCAGTCCTGGGCCTCATCGCAAGCTACAGCCGAGAAAAGAGCACGGCAAATACAATTTGTCAAGGACAACGTTGACATTAAATACTGATACATCAATGGTTTTACTACGACCTTGATTATAGCAAACTGGTGTACCTCAATGGGTTACCACGACAAACCCCACGTCAACAGTCAAAAGTGACTTCAGTCACTTGAATATAAAACGGCCCTCTTAGGAGCAACAGCATGATATAACCACCCTTTTCGGAAACTCTTCATTGAAAACTTGTTTTGGTTTAAACGTTTCCTTGTAGATAATGAAATTGCGCTAAGAAATTTCAGAAGTTAATTTCACAGTGAGTTGAGTACAGTTGTTAAAACCTGTTGCCTCAATACCACTTTGCTAGTTTCGCGCCTTTCCGCGTTGTTTCGGGTTCTTTTAACAAGTAAGAATTACCGAAAAATAGTGCTTGCGTACAGGAAAGAAGACATTCATATGTCATGTTGTTGTTTGCTCGTGAATCACAATAAACAGAACGAACACGACAGTGACGCGTTACCTTTCAATTTTAATGTTCGTACGATGTTTGTTATACTCGCAGCACCTTGAGATATTGTTAGCGCTAGATATATAGGTCGCCCTCGCTTTGTAACTATTAGCGCGTTTCTACTTTGTGTGAAAGCGAACTTGTTTTGCGCGGTTAGCCTATAGAACGAGGAATATTCATAACAATTATGGCGCGTTTTTAATTGGTGTAACAGCGAACTTGTTTTGTGTGGTTGGCTTATAGAACGAGGAATATTCATAATAATTATTAGCACGTTTTTACTTGGTGTAAAAGCGAACTTGTTTTGCGTGGTTGGCTTATAGAACGAGGAATATTCATAATAATTATTAGCACGTTTTTACTTGGTGTAAAAGCGAACTTGTTTTGCATGGTTGGCTTATAGAACGAGGAATATTCATAAGAATCATAGCGCGCTTTACTTGGTGTAAAAGCGAACTTGTTTTGCGTGATCGGGATATAGAACGAGGAATATTCATAAGAATTATAGCGCGCTTTTACTTGATGTAAACTTGTTTTGTGTGGCTGGCTTATAGAACGAGTAATATTCATAAGAATTATAGCGCGCTTTTACTTGGTGTAAAAGCGAACTTGTTTTGCATGGTTGGCTTATAGAACGAGGAATATTCATAATAATTATTAGCACGTTTTTACTTGGTGTAAAAGCGAACTTGTTTTGCATGGTTGGCTTATAGAACGAGGAATATTCATAAGAATCATAGCGCGCTTTTACTTGGTGTAAAAGCGAACTTGTTTTGCGTGATT